GCAGGGCGCGGCCCGGGGCCCGGGAGTGCAGGGCGGGCCGCAGCTGGAAGGAAAACTTGAGCTGGGAGAGGAGGCCGAGCTGGAGGGCGCCTTCCCCCGGCCCTGCGAGGGGGGAGCCGCCGCGGAGGCGAAGGAGACCGGGACCGCGGGGCTGCCTGGGCGCTGCCCGCATGCTGGGCCGGGGGCGCCGCCGGGGCTCGCGCCCTGGGCTGCAAGGCCGCCGCTGCCCCGGGCGCCCGGTATGTCGGTGCACTACACCCTCAATCTGCGCGTCTTCTGGCCCCTGGTGACCGGCCTCTGCACTGCCCTCGTGTGCCTCTACCATGTCCTGCGGGGAAGCGGGGGCGCCCGGGCCGAGCCCCCCGACGGTGCGGACGGCGGCTTCCCGCTGCTCAAGGTGGCCGTCCTGCTCCTCCTTGGCTACATCCTCCTGCGCTGTCGCCACGCTGTTCGGCAGCGCTTCCTGCCAGGGTCTCCTCGCCTGGGGAGCCACCCGACCTTCTCTCCTAGACACTTCCGAGAGCCGAGTCTTGGCATCTTGCTGGAGAGTTACTACGAGCACGAGGTGCGCCTGTCCCCGCACGTGCTGGGCCACAGCAAGGCGCACGTGAGCCGAATCGTAGGCGAGTTGGTGCGGGCTGGCCGCGCCCGCGGGTCCCCCGGCCCCATCCCTGGCGGGGCGCTGGCGTTGGCCTTCCGTGGAGACTTCATCCAGGTGGGCAGCGCCTACGAGCAACACAAAATCCGGCGGCCCGACGGCTTCGACGTGCTGGTGCCGCTGCGTCTCCCGCCGCTGGTGGCGCTGGAGCCGCGGAGCCTGGGCGCCGAGCCCGCGCTGGCCCCCGCCTTCCGCGGCTGCTTCGTGTGCGCCCTCAAGGCGCCGCCCGGGGCCTCCGGGAGCCACTGGCTGCGGGACTGCAAACCCTTCGCCGACGGCTTCTGCGTGGACGTGCTCGGGCGGCGTCACCTCTCTGCCGCGCTGGTGCTGCGCTGGTTCCAGGCGCACCTGCAGCGCTCCCTGGCCACCGTGCGCTACAGTCTGGAGGGGCGTTGTCGGGTCAGCCTGACCCCGGGCGGCCTGGAGCAGGCTCCCACCCTGCACATCCTGCCCTGCCGCACCGACTACGGCTGCTGCCGCCTTTCCATGGCAGTGCGTCTCATCCCCGCTGTGCATTTGGGCGACGGCGTTTTCCTCGTGGCACCGCCACCATCCCCCTCGCCCGTCGGGCCTCTGTCGGAGCTCCCTGGAGGCCTGCGCACGGATGCACTGTGGGGTGTGAACACAGCTCGGCAGGAGCAGAAGCTGCTGAGCTGGCTGCAGGAACGGGCCCCTCCAGGTGCCTGCTACCTCAAGTGCCTGCAGTTGCTTAAAGCTCTGCGAGACCTGGGCGCCCGCGGGCTGGACCCGACGGCCGCCACCCAGTGGGGACGCATCCTGTCCTCATACATGCTCAAGACAGTGCTGCTGGCGGTGCTGCTGCGGGAGGGGGCTCCTGCTTCAGGCTGGGACGAGGCGCACCTGGGCGAGCGGTTGGAGGAGTTAGTTCAGTTCCTTAGGGACTGCCTGCTGAGACGCCATACGCTCTTCCACTGCGTCCTGGGCCCTGGTGGGGCGGCTGCCGAGGTGGGCCCGCTGCCCAAGGTACTGCGTGAAGCTGCCCCCGTTGATCTCCTGGCTGCTTTCGACAGGCACGCCCGGGAACTTGCAGCGGCGCGGTTGCTGTCCACCTGGCGAAGGCTGCCCCAACTTCTCCGGGGCTACGGGGGTCCTCGCTACCTTGCCAGGTGCCCCCCACCCCGGAGTCAGCGCACGCAGGGGTTCCCTGAAGATCAGCCATAAACCTTGACAGTGCCCCCACCCGGCCTAATGCTCCTAAAGCCTCTCCCACCAGATGGGGTGGGGATGGCAACGAAGCCAGTTTAATGCAAGGAAATGAGGTGCCAAAGGTGATGGAAAATTTGGCGGGTGACGTATGGTGGCTTATATGTCCCCCCTGACTCCACAATCCAGCGTATCCTTAGCAAGCTACGGAAAGACCTCCAACACCAGCAGCTAAGAGTTGGTTCAAATGTTGGTTTGTGTGGAATGATTCTGCAAAGGATCCAGCTTTTAGGGAAGCCCAATAAAGGAAACAAGAACTAGCTGCAGAGAAAGTTCCCTCTGTCAGTTTTTGAGACAGATCTCTGGCCCCCAAATTCTAAGAAGCTATTTTTTTTTCCCCCTATAACTATTTGCTCCGTCCTGGGTTCCTGGTTGTCTTTTAAAAAATCGGAATCTTTATCTACAACTGGAATTGAAGTTCTATTCTAGGGGCTAATGTTCTGAGGAATACAGTTTTCACTATTCAAATTAATATTAATGTGTTTTTTAAGTGGTGCAATCACGGGTGTTTGACAGGACTGCAAAGAATTAAGTCACATGTGTTGAGGGGCAGTCAAGAGTTGGTTAGAGAAACTTCCAGAGCAAATAGCACTTTATTTTGATCAGTCCTTTCATTTTGTGGTAATTGCCACTGCCAAGTGTTGCATCCAAAAGGGAGGCCAGTTACCTTTATTATAAAGAAATGTGCAGTCTTAAAAAGCAGGCTTGCTTAACATCCTGCGGGCACACCCTACGGTATGTACCAGTCAGCAGGCATTCATGGAGAGCGCACTGTGAGCCAGGGGCGCCAAGTAGCAAAAAATATGTGTTTAGGACCATACCGGTGAGCAGGGAAAACAGGTTGGGTTTTGAGAAAGATACATTTCAGTCTTTGCCTATCCAGGTGAGTCACCAGAGCTTGCTGCTGGCCGGAGGCGGAAACATTTGTTGTTGTTTGAAGCCTTTTGAACAAACTCCTCTGCATGGAAATGTCTTTCTGAGTTTCGTGAGATAATGAGCAAATGCCTGCCGTAGTGCCTAGCATGTAGTTAGCTCCCAGAGTCAGTGCTCAGTGATGGTTAGTGGTCACCACGTTTCCCTCCCATCCCCCTGGCGGCCTTTAAGTGGTCCTAAGGCCGACTTGGAGGAGCGGCTGATTCGGCCCAGGTCTTGTAAAGCATTTCCCATAGACTTCAGTATCTTTGGCTCTGTGCTCCCTGACCACGGATCAGCAGTCAGCTGAGGAGAGTGAGGTGCGGGTGACAGCTCTTGGCCAGCAGTCTGCTGTTTTTTCTCTTTGGACATCAATATCCCCAACTCACTTTAGGTTTAGGTTCAGAATAGTCCATCATCTGCTTGCCTAATAGAAAATGCAGCCAGTCCCACCCAGTGTTAGACTTTGGGACTCTTTAATATTTTTGACAAAGACATGTATTTCCTTAGACTCTTAAAGGTAAAACTTGGAAGACAGAAATAGCCACCTGAATAGGGCCATTGTTTAGCTTCGGGGTTATTCTGAGGGAATTCTTTAAAGTTTCTTTAGGGGACCAACTTGGCCACTGCAGGAAATCATTGTGAATAAATGATTTGCAGGGGATCCTCGTGGGAGCTGCAGAGACTTCTTAGATCCTTTGCAACTTTGGACTGTAAGAGAAACAGTTGCAAATGTCATGCCCTCTCTTTGAGGTTGTGGGGACAGTTCCTCTTGATATCACAAAGGTCATTCCCAGTTTTTAAGGTCAGTGTTAGGTCATAAGGTACTGAGTTTAGTAAAGGGATCAGTCTACCAACTTCCTACAAAGATATAAACTGCAGAGTGTTTCTTAAAATTACTTATTAAAACAGATGCAAAGAGTAAGTAGATCTTTATATATATATATATTTATAATGTTTCCATATCAGCCCCAATTCCCCCTGTAGTCTTGTTAAGTCTACTGAAATGGGGAACAGCAAGGCTATTGGAAGGATTATAAAGCTTTAAAAGCTGAACTTTCCAAATGTCTCTAGTTGAGTTGATAGCTTCCTTTTTTTTTTATCTTGCTAGTCGTTTGAAGTTTAAATCTGGTAACATTTTTGTTCTTGTAGTGTTTTTGTTATTTTTTTTTTCAGGTTAATTACCCAAAGCCTCATCCATCCTCAAGATTTTTAAATTTTATTATTATTTTTTAATTAATGGGGCATTGTGTTTGTGAATTGTTAAAATATTGTTTTATTTAAGCGCCATGCTGAGCAATTGTTCTCTGTACATGGCAACCAAAACCTAGATTTCGATCAATTTTGATCAATGTGTAGTGATCCCAAACATGTACTGTGTACAAATGAAATAATATGGTATATTAGCCAGGTGTGATGGTTGCCCGAGGCACTTAAATTAAGCTCAATTCTGTCTTTTATCAGGGCTCCATCACCTCCTTGATCTGAAATGTACACATTTTTGGTGTATACTTGGTACTAGAGATTAATGTATGCAAAGATTCTTATACAAGCCTCCAAATTGCTCGTGGTAAAAAAAAAAAAAAAAAAAAAAGATTAACTGTCCAGCCAGTGCCGGAAGAAAAGTTCTGGGGACGATGACTCAGCCATTTTGCCTGAAGACACCCTTCAGTAACTCCCACTGACCAGTCTTGGGAGCCATCCTGGAAGGCTCGTTGTGGGCTGAGAAAAGGAGACTTTTTTTGCAAGAGGAAATGGAAGAAGCTGTAAGAAGGGAGACCGAGAGCAAGGGAACCAAGAGAAATCTGAAGAATTCAGGAGAGAGGCCTTAAGAGGGAAGTGAAGGAAGAGATGGCGAGAAGGGGAACCCCAGGGAAGGGGGGGAATCACATGAGGGTGCAAGAGGTTTGGGTAGGAAAAACATTTTTAGCTATGTGCTATTTCAAGCCAGGGGTCGCAAACTCAGCAGCCTGCGGAAGCAAGGCAGGGAGATCAGTCCGGGAAGGGGTGGGTGGGTGGTGGGGGGCTATGCCCCTCTTAAACAGGGCAGCCATTGGTCAGCTCTGTGCTGGGAAAAAGGGAGGGAGGGGCCGGAAATCAGGATTCTTTTTTTTTTAAAGTGAAACTTTCTCATTTTTAAACAAAATCGTTTTAAATTGTCCCACACACCAAGTGGGCCAAACAGAGCATTTGCTTGAGCCTGGGGCCACCAGTTTGCGACCCCTGCTGAACATGGTTAATCCTCCAAGTATATATAAGGTTATATTTATTGTTCTGGAGATGTCGTTATACATAGTTGGGGGTGTGATATTTCAAGTCCTTATTTCTCAGAGCTAAGCTTTATTATAGAAACAAACCAAAAAAAAAAAAAATAACAGGGCCACAGATAACACTTAACTCATAGTTCCCAGAAGGACCCTCGATCCGGGAGCTGTTCTTGTCCAGCTACACATCCTCCAAGCAAACCACTGGGGGCCAGTTCTTGGCATTTCCTTCCTGGTGAGTCGGTGCTCTGTCTCGGAGTTCACAGATGAGTAATCAGGAAGGATTGCAGAATAACTTGTTTCTTTTTGATTTGTATTTTGTTCTGATTTTTAAATTAGTCATTTTTTTTAAGTAGTCTCCCAGACTGTGGCTTAGCAGTGATGGTGGGTGGCCTTGGACCCCAGAAAACCAGTGCTGGGTCTTCAGGCCAAGCTTCTTAGGCTTGTTACCATGCCCACCGCCGAGAACACTGTTGGCTTCCACCAAAACTGACATCCTCGCGTTCGGAAGGGATGAACCAAACATGCTTCCAAAGCATCTCTTTTTTTAACCTCATGGAGTAAGTCACTCTTTCTATAAAATGTGGCCTTTGACTTAACTTAAGAAGACTTAACTTATCCCTACCCACCTGGAGGAAGGCTATTACCACCTTCCCCAGTAGTGGGGGAAATGAACCTCATTAACATTTCCAGTGACCCTTGGGAGGGAAAAAAGTTCAGTGTTATCATCTTGGTGTTTGTTAATTTTTTTTTTTTTTAAATCACACGTCTGTTACTTAGACACTACTGTTTATTTTCTTTTATACCTACATAGCACATGGTTTGATGGGAATTTAGCAAGTATAAGTTGGGAGAGGCTGAAGATAATATGCAATCATCTATACAGAGAGAATAGCCTAAAAAAATGATATGTAATCTGGTTTTTGAAGTATCAGATATTCAGGAATATTTTTAGCACCGTTTGCTTTAAAAAATAATTGTGCCTTGATTCAGTGACTTGACTTTAAAACATTCCTCTTATTTTATTGTTATTTTAAATGTGTATTCTGACCCCCAGCTGTGTACTCTGACGCAGTCTGCTGGCTGCAGTCATAGTATATGGTTTGTTCCGATAACAGAGACCAAAGGGTTAATCAAATATGATCCCGCTGCTACAGGTGTGTGATTAAAAGTTTTAGATCACACCACATTTCCATGGCCCAAACAGTTGGGGCCAGCCATTTGTTTTCTATTTCAGGTTGGAGTAAATTTGCACTTTTAATCTTTTGGGTTTTTTGAGGGGGGCCTGTTCTTTTATACTTTGCTTTGTTAATAAAGGAACTTGTAGAAAACTCTGGACTGAATGTCAGATTTGGAGAGGGCTCTCCCCTTCCTGAAGGGCAGCTTGTGGATGCCCTGGCTTATGATTCCTTATACAAGCTCACTCGCTTTCAGCATCTGGGTGTCTGGGAGTCTTTTCTCACTCAGCAACGCTAGAATAATTGTATACAGTTGGCGCTGTACACAGGCGGACAAGGATGTTAGTTCACAGTTCTGTAGGTTTGCAGCCTGGGGTCCTGCCTTCAAGGCTTTTTCCTTGCCTAGAACCTTCTGCCTGGCTCCCACACACCCCCCATAACACAATTCAGGTCTTGGCCTGTAGCTAATTTGTTGCTCAAGAATTTTGCTCAGAAATCTCTTAGGCCCTCAGGCCCTCTCCAAATGGTAAACATTTGCTAATAGTGAAAAACCACGGGGCTTACTGAAAGATGGAATCTTGGAGATGATGCAGGACTCCTCAAAGTCTTGGAGCCAGGTGAAAGTTGAGAGAACCTGCAGCCACAGGCTGATGAAACAGTGTTGTGTAGGATCCTTGGCCCAGGGAGAGGTGGTGGGTATGTTTTGTTCGGTTTTCCACAAGTAGCTGTTGAGTGGTTACTGTCCCCAGTGTTGAGGACCCATGCGGTGACCCAGACGGATGTGGTCTCTCTGTCAGGAGCCCGCAAACTCATTGTGAGAGGTAGGCAGTTCCGTGGTTTCCATGCAGTGTGGTGGGTGGTGGTGAGGAAGGGCTAAGGAAACAAGAGGGGCACCTTACGCGGTTCGGGAATTTCAGGGAAGGCTGCTCGGAAGAAGTGACATCTACATTGAGATCTGGCGGTTGGTAGGAATTCGCTAAGTGGAGGGAGCTGGGCAGGAGAGCAATGTATCAAGGACAGAGATGAATGGAGCATTTCAGTTTGGCTGGGAAGTGGGGGTGGGCGGGAGGGAGGAGGCTCCAGCGGCAAAGGATGAGGTGGGAGAGGGAGGATACAGGGGTCTTGAAGCCAGAGCTTCTCAAACCGGAATGAGCAAACCACCTGGGAGTCTGGTTAGAGTGCACATTCTGATCCAGCTGGTCTGAGCTGGGGACCTGAGATTCTGCTTTCCTAACAAGCTCCATCACGTGATGGTGATGCCGGTGGCCCCAGGGGCCACACTTCGATCACAGGGCTGGATACCATGATAAAAGTTTGGACTGATCCCCAGAGATAACTGGTGAACCACTTTAGTCAAGGAATGGCAGGTGGCCTTTGAGTTTGGCTCACTCTGGCTGCAAGGTGGAGGAGGATGGATTAAGCAAGGGTTGGCAATGCATTTGTTTTTGTAAATAAAGTTTTTACAGCTGTGCCATTCCTTTATATACCATCCCTGGCTCAAGTCAGCCTACACTGGCAGGGCTGAATAATTGCAACACAATCCTGCAAATATTTACTCTCTGGCCCTTTATAGGAAAAAAAATCGGCTGGAAGTAATCAGACTGGGAAGTCTTCAGGTGCTGCAGCAGTCCAGGCTTGGACAGGGGGCCTGAGCGGGGGACAGAGAAACAAGTTGCCCTAAAGACAGAACAGAGCCCTGGCTAGGGCCAATGCTTTGACACCAAAAGATTTGTCTTCAAGTCTTGTGTCCCGCATCTCTCACCCGCGAGTCTCTCTACAAATTACCTAATCCTCAGGGCACCTGGGTGGCTCAGTCGTTAAGCGTCCTGCCTTCGGCTCACGTCATAGTCCCGGGGTTCTGGGATCAAGCCCCGCATCGGGCTCCCTGCTCTGCGGGAAGTCTGCTCCTCCCTCTCCCACTCCCCCTGCTTGTGTTCCGTCTCTCGCTGTGTCTCTCTGTGTCAAATAAATTAAAAAAAAAAAAATTACCTAATCCTCTCGGAACCTTGATTCCCTCATCTATAAGATGGGATTCATAGTAGAACCTCCCTCATAGGAGTGAGAGAGGATTTAGTGGGATCGTGTTTCATGTAGTAAGCACCAGAAACGGGCGGGCAGTGTAGAAGTAATTATTGGAATGGAAGTTCGATTTAGTCTGTGTCTCCAGCCTCTTCCTCTGTTCCCTGTGCTGCTCATTCTGTCTCCACTACAGGATGGTTTCCCTTTTGTCCACACAACCATCTCTCTAGCTACCCCGATTTTGTTCTCTCTTTCCTTGATGTCCACGGTGATCCGTTCAAGGAAAAGCTCTCACTTCAGGTACAATGGTGAACTGATGACAAAAATGACCCCCATGCTCCTTCTCTTCCTACACTGATGCCTTTGGGGTCTCGCCTACCCCTGAAACTGAAATGACTGTGACTTTCTTTAGTCAGTAGAATGTGGCAGAAGGGATGTTGCCCGAGTTCCTGGCCTGGGGCTCAAGAGGCCTTGTCTGCCTCTGATTGTTCTCTTGCAAGCTTTCTGCCACCGTGTGACTAACTGGTCTGCTGGAGGATGGGGGACCGCGTGGCCCCATCAATCCTGTCACCAGAGCGGACAGCCAGCCACCTGCAAGACACGCGAATGAAGCCATCCCACACCGACCTGACAACAAACGGACTGAAACACTTGCCCAAGCCCAGCCCAGACCAGTCACACTTGGCCCAGATTAGCAGAAGCACTCAGCTGGTCCATAGCCTCCGAGACATAACATTGTTTTAAGCCACTGAGGTAGTGATAGTTGGTGGCTCAGCCATAGCTAACTGATTTGGAGGCTTAAAAAACCCATCTGGCATCCATGGGCTGCCGCGGGAGTACACACAGGCTGTCCTTGACTTCTGTACATTTGACTTGCAAGCGGCTAGACTTGGATGCGAGTGCTTGACTGATGCCCCAAGCCACCTTGCCTGCAGGAATCCAGACTTCCCTCACCAGCTGCCGCAGCGGGTGGCTGAGTTGGGCCAACGCCACCATCTTTGGGCCATGCGTGTACTCCATTGTTTGACCGTGTTCCAGCACTTGCCCTTATCTTCTAAAAACAAAAAGCAAACAGAGGCTGGGAAAACAAAAGTGCTGATTCAGGTGACAAGCCCCAGGTCTCAAAGGTAATACAACGAAGACAGTGATCCGCTGTGCCCGGAGCGCCCAAGCTTCGGCGGCGCTCGGCTGCCGGCTGCTTGCAGCTGAGCTGCTGGGCGGTGTGTTCACTTGTAAAGGAAAAGAACAGCAGCCACGACAGGCATGTAGGAAACTCTATCCGTTAGGAGTACATTTGGCCGCGATTTATAAAAACCTAAACTATAGTGACTTAAACAAATGGCGGCTTATTCTTCTGCATCCGCCCGAGCCTGGAGGTGGGCAGCCAGCAGCTCGGGGATGAATCGGGGACCCAGGCATCTCTCTGCTCTGCCATTCTGGGTATTTTCGCTTTTATCCTCTCCTACTTGTCATCTCGAGATCCCACAGTTGCTGCTACAGCTCCTGACACTGTGTAAGGCCAGGAGAAGAGAGAACGGATTACGGAACGCAGCCCGTGTGTCCCTCCACCTCGTTGGCCACGCCGGTGTCACGTGACCGCTCCTGGCTGCAAGGGATGCTGGGAAAGAAAGCCTGGCACGTGGCATGGAGCAGCCCCGAGCCGAACAGGAAGGAAGAGTGGGTATTAGTGGGTAAATAAGATTTTGCTGCAGAAAGGCTAACAAGGGATAGCAGAAGATGGTGTCAAAGAAGAAGTAATTATGAAATAGTTGCCTTAGTCCTTGCATATAGTAAATGCTCAATAAATATTAGAACCGAAGTCCCAGCTCTACCATTCAGTGGCTGTAATCTTTTGGGCAAGTCAGTTAACTTGTCTGGACGGTAATTTCCTCATTTGCAAAATGGCGGGGGTGGGGATAATCCTGCCTTTTATAGGTTTGTTTGGAGCATCAAAGACTAATGCCTGTGAAATTGAGAAATGCTATCCAAATTTTAGCTGTTGTCTCTGGAGTAGTGCTCCAGCATCTTTGGAACAGTAGGAAGGTGGATCCATCTCTTTTTCCTTGTTTAAAAAAAAAAAGATTTTATTTATTTGGGGGGCAGGGAGACAGAAGGGGAGGGAGAGGAACAAGCAGACTCTAAGCAGAACCCCATTTGGGGCTCAATCCCACTACCCCGAGCTCATGACCCGAGCTGAAACCAAAAGTCAAACGCCCAATCCACTAAGCCACCCAGGTGCCCCAAGGTGAATCCATGTCTTAAGGGGGGTAGGGTCACCCTCAGGCACTCTGCCCAGCACCTCCCCACCACCAAGCTTCCTCTCCTTCAGGCCTGTGAGGGAGCCGCAATTGTGAATTTTGTTCCCAGGAGGGAGGACATCCAGGGAGAGGATCCACCATCCCCATGGCTCTTCTGAATTATGTCATTTTCTTATAAGCTTTCTCTTTCTTTCATTGCTCAAATGAAATTTCATTTTCACTGCTTGAGTCCTAGGTGGAAAGCTCAAGCTCATGGTTCTCAGTCCTGGCTCTGTAACAGTCCATGAGGGGCTTTGTAAAATTGTCCACACTCAGTGGGGCCCTGGGTGGCTCAGTTGGTTAAGCGTCTGACTCTGGATTTCAGCTCAGGTCATCATCTCAGGGTTGTGAGATGGAGCCTGGGCCAGGCTTGGAGCCTGCTTGCAATTCTTTCTCTCCCTCTGCTCCCCCCTCACCCCACTCCCCGTGCGCTCTCTCTTTCTCTCTAAAGGGAAAAAGAAAATTGTCCACACTCAAGAGTTCACCCTGGCCCAGTGAGGTAGCAAACTCAGGGAGTGTAGTCCAAGTATGGGGTGCTTTTTACAGCTCCCTGGATGATTCTAGAATGCAGCCAGGGTTGTGAACCATAAGGGCCTTCAGTCAGATGGCCCTTAGGTCAGAGAACCTGGAAACACCAGCTGGTATGTGTGAGGAATGCTTTGGGGCAGAGACAGCTGAAGGGCGGAGGTAGAGGTGAAATTATAGGAGTTCAGGATGGAATTCTTCAGCTGAGAGATACAGGGCAAAATATCACTACACAGGCATAGGATTTAATCCCACTGGCAGTTCCCCTTTTCTCCAACCCCAAGGAGATGGAAACAGGAAAAAAAATTATTT